GGCTCCTGTGGTGGTGGAATGGTTAGAGAAGAGGGTTCCGCTTTTTCCAAAGGGTGTTATGAAGCTGGCATCTTTGCTAGTTCCTATCCAATAGCAGTTTTCAGTAGAAGAAAGGGATTGGGTGAATCGGGAGTTAGTCCGTTTAGAAATGTCTGGGGCAGTAGAATTGGTATCAAGAGGCAGTTCGAGGCTGGAGGTTCTCTTGGAAGTGAGCCCTGTGTTTGTAGTGCCCAAACAGGGTCCCAAAAAATTCAGGTTGGTTATCGACCTAAGGTGGTTAAACAGAACCTTACCCAAGAGGTCGTTTAAGTTCAAGGAGTTGGGAACCTTGTTAAGAACAATAGGAAGAAATTGGTGGGTTCTAACGTTCAATTTGAAAGAGGGTTATCACCACTTGATAATGGACGACTTGGCACAACATTTTCTGGGTTTTGTGTTTGAGGAGAAGTGGTTTTACTACAAGGTGCTTCCTTTCGGTTTAAGCCAGTCCCCTTGGATATTTGCGAAAGTGATGAGGGCAATGATCAGAAGTTGGAGAGCCCATGGTATTTTTTGTGAAAATTACCTCGACGATGTTTGGGTTGCTCACCCGTCGAAGGAAATTTTGTTAAAGCAGAGAGAGGAAGTGATAAAGGTGGATTTGGAAGGTTGTGGATGGATCCGTGCCGTAGAGAAAGCAGCTGGGACCCAGTTCGGAGACCCAAGTTTTGCGGCTTGGTGATAGATACACTGAATGGGTTGGTTGTTGCGCCAGAGGAAAAAATCAAAGCAACGATTTCGCTGCTGAAGACCTTGTTGGAGACTCCATCGGTTTCGGTTCGGAAGCTTGCTTCAGTTGCAGGCAAAATTCAAAGTTTAGCAAGGGCCTTCGCTCCTGCTCAAGTAAAGAGCTTGGAATTCTATCAATTGATAGATGCCAAGAGCCATTTGTTACACGAGTAGAACAAAAGTATAGTTTTGATGGGTCAAGCAGTGGAAGATATGCAGTGGCTAATAGAAAACTTGGAAAATTGGAATGGTCGTCCTGCGTGGAAGCCGTCTCGGGTGAGGACGGTGTTTGTAGATGCATCTGTGGTCGGTTGGTGCGGAATTTATCAGAGCTTGGTTGCAAGTGGCAGTTGGGCGAAAAAACTGTCTGCAAACGTGATTGCACAACTCGAAGCTATAGCAGTTCTTTGGGTATTACAATCTTTGGGGGATCAGTTGAAAGGATCAGTAATAATGTTGATGATAGACAACAGAGTAGTCCTGAAGACGGTTCAGTATAGGGGGCCAAGAAGATGGCAAAAGGACGTTGCAAGAGAAATTTGGAATGTTTGTTTGGAGAAGGATATAGACGTTTTTCAAGTTCGTTGGGTTCCAAGCGAGTACAATCTAGCTGACGATTTTACACAGATGTTAGATTCAGAAGATTGGTCTTTAAGAATGGATGTAGTAGAGTGGTTGGAGGTTTGTTGGTGAAAGTTCGATGTCGACAGATTTGCAAGTCATCTGAATGCCAAGATGAAAAGGTTCAACAGTCTGTATTTCTGTCCAGGTTCAGAAGCGGTAGATTGCTTCTCTCAGGATTGGAAAGGTGTAGTAAACTATCTGTGTCCCCCTTTGCAATGATTCACAGGGCTATCGCGCACACCAAGGAATGTCAGGCGGTGATAATAATTATTGTTCCAATTTGGGTTGCCGCCCCCTGGTGGCCCTTAGTTATGGGAGCAGTAAGAGAAGAGGTGGATCTTCCTCCACCTGTGAAGATTATTCAACCGGGCCCTTCGGGTTGCCTGGAACCTTGCAGAAACGAGCTTTGGAGATTAAGGGCGGTGCGAATAGATTGGTCCAAGAATGCTTAGTTCATGCAGAATGTTTAATTAAAAATTCTGTCAGTGAAGCATATAATAAGAGATTAGAGAGGGCATGGAAAGTTTTTTCAGAATTTACTTCAAGAACGAATAGTTCTTCCTTACCTGCTTCAAGTTCCACGGTTTTGGCTTTTGTTGCCTGGATGGAGATGTTGGGGCGTGTTTCTGAGCTGACGGTTTGCTTGTCATCTGTTTCTAGGGCCTATAAAATCCGAGGCTGGTGTGACCCGACAAAGAAAAATGCAGTCCAGTTTGCAGTGAATGGTCTTAGGAGATGTGCGGCTCAGTTTTCGAAAGCGAAGTGGTCTAGAAACCCTTTTCCTGTCGAAGCTTTGAAATTTTACTTGGACTTTCCTCTGGAAGGTGTTAGTTATGAGTTTTGGGCTCGGGACTTGGCTTTGATTGCCCTGGGTTTGAGAACAATGAGACGGCCTGGGGAGTTATGTAATTTAAGGTTGAGTGATGTTAAACTTGCGGGCGGTTTGTTTTGGGTAAGGATTAACAAGTCCAAGACGGACCAATTAGCTAAAGAGAAATTTATCCCGATTGAAAGAACGAGTAGTAGGTTTTGCTCCGTTGAGAGAGTAGTGAATTACCTGAAAGTTAGACCTGTAACGAAGGGTGATGCACCAT